ATATATATATATATATATATATATATATATATATATATATATATATATATATATATATATATATACACACACACACACACACACACACACACACACACACACACACACACACACACACACACAGGTACAGGTATGCAGGTCTTGGCATGTTCGGGTCTTTTCCCATGTAAGATTGAGAGTATCTTGGTGACGTTTTGATGAAGTCCCACTCGCCATCTTCAGACTGGTGCTTTCGGCTTCGTGCTTATGCGAGTAAAGCGTGATCGGAGCTGCTGTCTCTCAATAAATACTGATGGGGAGGTGTGGTGTGCTGGCTCTGTGTAAGCAGGCTGGTTGGCTGTGTTGTTATTTCTTGATTGATTGATGGAGTTGATGTTTGCAGATTGGTTGGCTTTTTTGTAAGAACATGTGTGGCTGAGGTATTGGCTGTGTGTCTATCACCTCCTGTGTTGTAACGACCTGGGTAATGGGCTGTGTGATGACCTTCTGAGTTTATTGTTGTGACATCCTGGGTCCTGTGCTGTAATCTCCTGGGTCAATACTGTGTTGTAACATCCTGAGGTTTTGTGGTGTAACCTCCTGAGTTCCATGATGTGATATCCTGAGCGGGTGGCTGTGATGTGACGTTCCGGGTTTTGATTTGGCTCTGAGTTTGAGGCCTGGCTATGTGTTCATGGTGTGTGTCAGTTTGCTTGGTTTGGGGGTCGGGATGTGTGGCAGCTGGTGATGCAGCCGTGGTCTGGTTTCTGGATGGTGGTTGCCTTTCGTCTATGGGATGGGTTTGGGTTTGAGTCTGGTAGGGGAGATTGGTGATGGTGTCATGTGTTGTTTTGGGTCCAGTGTTGTTTTCATGGCTGGGACTCATTTGTTGATAAGGGCTAGTTTCCATATGTCTGGTAGGTGGGAGACATCGTCCCGTTTATTCATGTTATGGGGGTGTTTCTCTATTTCGATGGCTTCCCTGATTATTCTCTTGTTGAAGTGTTCAGTATTGGGGATTAATTTGGTTCCCTCAAAATTAATTTCATGTCCTGTGGCTTTAAGGTGCTGGAAAAGGGAGAAAGTATTTTCTTCTTTTCTGACTTCCTTCTTGTCTTCTGCGATGCATGCATTTATTCTCCTGTTGGTTTGTCCAATGTATGTGGCTGGGCAATTGTTGCATGGTATTTCATGAACTCCTTGGTTTTCTAGCTGGATCTTGTCTTTGGGGTTTCTTAGGATGTTGGCTATTTTTTGGTCAGTGCCGAAGGCTGTCCTGATATTGTGTTTGTGGAGAATTTTGCTGATTTTATCTGTGGTGCCTTTGATGTAGGGGAGGAGGGCGATACCATTGTCCTATTATGTGTCTTGGTTTTTTGGGGGTGTCTCCTTTAGGATTAGGTTGGTAATTGTGTTTCTTTGGAATCCATTGGAAATTAATACATTAGTGAGGATGTGTAATTCTGTTCTCAGGTGGTCTTTGTCGGCTAGGCGTTTGGTTCTGGAGATGAGGGTCTTGGCTATGGAGTTGATCTGTGCAGGGTGGTGATGGGATTGTGCATTTAAGTAGCGGTTGGTATGTGTTTTCTTTCGGTGGATGGTGTGTCCTAGGGAGCCATTGGTTTTTTTGTAAATTAGGACGTCCAGGAAGGGAAGTTGGTTGTTGGCTTCTGTTTCCATGATGAATTGTATTTTGGGGTGTAGGCTGTTGAGGTTTGTGGGGAAGTTGTCCAGTTTTTCTTTCCTGTGTGGCCAAATTACGAAAGTGTCATCTACATATCTAAGCCAGAGTTTGGGTTTGGGTTTGGATTTGTCTAGAGCGTTGGTTTTAAAGTGTTCCATGTATAGGGTAGCGATGACGGGTGAGAGGGGTGATCCCATAGGTGCTCCTTCTATCTGTTTGTATCTTTGTCCATTGTGGATGAAGTGTGTATTGGTTAGGCAGTGGTCAGATCTAAGATGTGCTTAGGGGGGTTGTATTTGTTTTGGATGGCTGTCAAGGCTTCTTTAATAGGTACTTGGGTGAAGAGGGATATGACATTGAAGCTCATGCGTAAGTCGCCAGTTGTAGGTTTTGTTTCTTTATAAACAATGAAGTGGAAAGAGTTTTGTATGTGTGAGGTAATGGATTCTATGTAAGGCTGAAGTTGTTTGGCGAGGAATTTGGCAAGATTCTGTAGAGGTGAGCCTATGGAGCTGACTGTGGGTCTGAGTGGTGTTCCTTCTTTGTGTATCTTGGGGAGGCCATAGAGTTTAGGGCAACTGGATGATTTTTCTCTGGGGATGATTATTTGCTGGATCTCTTCACTGATGGGAGAAGCTTTTATTTTGGATTTGGTGGTTTTTTCCAGGTAGGTGGTGGGGTCAGTATTTAGAGGTTTGTAAGTGGGGTCTTGGAGTAGGTTGGATAGTGCTTTATGTTCTTCTCTGTGTAGATTGCTTCTGGGTGGACTGCTGGAGCAGAGGATGTTGGTGACTTCAAGTCTGATTTTATTGGCTACATCTGGGTTAATTTTGGTTAGGCTAGCTTCAACTCCCCACCAGTATTTATAGAGAGACGGCAGCTCCAATCACGCTTTGCTCGCACCAGCACGAAGCCGAAAGCACCAGCCTGAAGATGGCAAGTGGGACCTCGTCGAAACGTCACCAAGATAATCTTACATGGAAAAAGACCAGAACACGTCAAGACCTGCATATATATATACCGTGTTTCTCATATAATAAGGCCGGGTCTTATTTTTTTTTGAGCCCCGAAAAAATGGCTAGGCCGTCTTTTCGGGGGTGACTTAATTCCCCCCCCCCTTGCATGTTTGGGCGGGCGGGCAGCGACAGCTTGGATGTTGACCTCGGCGTTGGTGGGGCACTTCGTATCGGGGTCAATGCAGGCAGCACCATATCCGGGTGTGCAACAAAAGTACTTTCTAATGGCAAGCGCCCCCACCATTCCCCCCCATTTCGCATGTTTTAATATAGGCCTTAATTTTGGGGGAGGGGCTTAATTTCATTTCATGCCTATAAAACATGCTGGGACTTCCTATTGGGGGAGGCCGTATTGTTGGAGAAACAGGGTATGTGTGTGTGTGTGTGTGTGTGTGTGTGTGTGTGTGTGTGTGTGTGTATGTATGTATATGTATATGTATATGTATATGTATATGTATATATGTATGTATGTACATATATGTGTGTGTGTATGTGTATATGCATATGTATATACATATGTATATACATATACATATACATATACATACATACATACATACATACATACATACATACATATGTAAGATTAAGAGTATCTTGGTGACGTTTCGGCAAGGTCCCACTCGCCATCCTCAGGCTGGTGCTTTCGGCTTCATGCCAGTGCAAGCAGTGTGTGATCAGAACTGCCGTCTCTCTATAAATACTGGTGGGGGGGCTGATGTGCTGGGCTGGTTGGCTGCACTGCTGCCTCTTGATTGGTTGATGGAGTTGATGTTGGTATAATGGGCTGTGTAATGGCCTTGTGAGTTTTGTTGTGAGATATCCTCACAAATCTCCACACAACTAGCCAGGCAAACACCTGGGCACAAACAGAGCCCCCCTGATACCTCCAGCTCAAACACACCCCAACCAGGCACCCAGATGAAACCTAGCTTCCTAATAAATGATAGCCGTCCATTTGCTCGGAGCCAAGCCACACTAAAAGCCTCCAATACAGGAAACATAATGTTGCCAGCCAATCAAGACCCCCAAAAATGCTACAAAACAGACAGAGGATATTAGAAACACCAATCAAGCAGAACACAGCAAACTCTAAGACCAATAAACACAGACCAAGACTCCCAACCAATCAGGATGAAGAAAAAACCATTCTGGCACAGCAGTAGGCTAGCACCAAATTTAAAACAGAAACGGCTGTGAAATTCTGACTCACAGACGAACACAATACAGAAGCCTGATGATGGCAGATGAGATTCTGCCGAAATGTTGCTACAACTTTAAAAGCACAACTACAATGATGTGGGAAAACACCCGAACAAAGCTGAATACCATACATATAGATACCCGCAAAAACTTAAGAAAAAATACACACACACACACACAGGCACAGACACAGACACACACACACCCTTTTTATGATCCTATAATCTCTTAATTTGAAGTAAAGTTGAGGTGACTGGATGGAGCTGAGAATTTACTGGCAGGATGCCCTTCCTGATGCCTATTTGGAGTTTGTAGTATAAGAGAGAAATATCTGCCGCTACCTAGGATTGAACTCTCAACCTTCAGAGTGGGAGGTAAGCACCTTTACTACCATTTAGAAAAATATATCGACATTAACCTTGTCTGATTTGTCAACAAGATAAAGTTAAGAGAAAAAATGACCTTGCCAGTGATGTTGCGATAGCACAAAAATATGCTTCTGGGATTCAAAATATAGTGAAATGCAATTTTGAGTATCTATTTTCCACGATTATTTTTACTCAAGTAATAATGATAAAGCTTTATCACTACCTCATAGCCTGATTTGGATTTCTACTATAAAACAGCAGTATTCACATATAATTCAAGTTTGAAGTAAAAATGGTATTAATGGCAGGATAACCATGAAAAAACATTTCTAGAAAGCATGCAGAAACAGATTCAATGGTTCACACATAACATTTGAATAAAACCTTATACTGGAAAGGGAGATTCTTATTTGCTATAGAAAGGGATAATATTCAAGGATTATTCTCCATAGTATTATTGGCATAATAGTAACCAGCCATTGATGCTAATATACTGTATATCCCATTATTATTTTAATTTCTACACCCATAATATAAAGAATAAAATAGAAGAGGAAAATTTATTCATTTTTAACAGGTTCCACATCATTACTAGAATAGCCCAAATATTTACAGGTAATTTGCCATATCCACAAAATTAAAAATGTAAAAAGAATTTCTGAGGTTTTGATGCACAAAAGAGGTATAAAGTTTATCTTGCCCAAAGTGTCATTCAAACATATGATGCATGCTTACTCTAAGGAAATTTGAGCTCACTTGAAGGTTAAGTTGTGCTAAATTCATTATCTTCACATTACACTTCATTAATTAATTAATTTTTATTTTTCTGTTGTTAATTTGAAGCAGGAGTGGGATTCTACCTGGTCAGTCTGGTTCCATAGAACCAGTTGTTATGATTCTGCCCAGTTTGGACAACTGGCAAATTGCACCACTGGCTGGCCCCGCCCCACCCCGCCCTACCCACTCACTCCTTACCTGGCATGCATACCATCCAACTTGCCTGCATTAGCCTAATTTTTGGTAAGTTGCTATTTTTCCTTTTATTTTCCGACCATCAGCTGTTCCTACTATCAGCTGTGCCAGGAGATTTAGATTAGCTAGAAACAGGAAATCATTGGATTTCTTGCTTTCTAGCTAATCTAAAAGCAGAGCTGAACCTTCCTTAGGACTAAAGCTTCTATTTTTTAGTGCAGACTCAGGTAGCAGATTGCAGAATGATAGATCTCTAAGTGAATCTGTGATTCTGGGAGCAACTCAATCTGCCTACCTGTTTTGCCTGAATTTGGGTAAAAGTTGCTCTTTTTTATAAAAAAATATCAATATTTACATAAATATTTACAATATTTACATGAAAGCCATGTCCACCCAGTCATGTGACCACCAAGCCATGCCCAGTCAGCAAGCCACACCACCCAGTCACATGACCACCAAGCCACATCCACAAATTAGGCCATGCCCACAGAACCGGTTGTTAAGAAATGTGAATCCCATCCCTGAGTATAATCATCAAACAATTGGATTTACTAGGCTACTAGAGAGACTCAAGTGACTTAATTGAAAGGTAACCACTAACTTCATGGCTGGATTGTGAGTTTGATTGGAATATCTAGCTGGTTATTCTAGAACACAAAAACTTGGACTAGGGAAAACTGCTCTGACAGAAGAAGACTTCTCATTTTTATGTTTCTATAAAATTGCTTATATTGTTGATGCCACATATATTAATCTAAGGTTGTCCATTATTTATTGAGTAGCTTGCCTGCATCCTTGAATTTCAGCTTGTCTATTTTTTATGACTGACATTTCCAGCCCTAATAATTCTTGAGCTTGGAAAACAGTGGAAGATGGCCTATTAGTTAATTATCTAGAGTATTCCTTAATATCAGCAATATGCTTTTTCTAATTTACTTTACAACCTAATTTCCTGATATTACACAGAATTGATGATATATTTTGCAATATTCCAAGCAGTTTGTTTAAATCTTAGAACTAATTCACAAAACCCTGTAAAGAAGTCCAGTACTATTATATTATTTTCATATTAGAGATAGAAGCTGAAAGAACATTTTGCCCATGGCATGCAATTTTATAGCTAAGATGTCAGTTGAATCAAATGTTTATAGTTCATAGCTCAGGCTTTTCTTTTCTAGTTTTTATTCATTTTCTTTCAGAAAAGATTTCTGACTAGCCATCAGACAGCTTTACAAGTATAACTTTAGAAGAGTTGTGAGTTAAAAGTTGGATTTCCACTGTACAATTGTATAACTTACAATGTATCTACAGATAATTTTCTTCTTTCTTTGCTCCTGGCATACTTTATTATTTTAAACATTGCTGCAAATATATGCCAGCAACCCTACAGTTTAGATCAATAAACTTTTCTGATAAAGAAAACAAAGTTTCCATATGTGCATCACTCTTATGTTCCATATGTGCATCACTCTTAACCTTTAGGTTGAGTGAAATGGTGCATATTGTATTTTTTTTCCTAATCAAGGTACCTCAACTCAGCTGATTTTCAGAAAATGTTCAAAATTTGGGAGTCACAACTCCTGAGGGAATGAAATTTGGGAATGATGTGGCTTCTTTAAGTGCTACTACTGCTTCAGCGCACAGCATTGCACACAGCAGTAATGATAAGCTGCAGGCACATGTTCTGCATTTTTAACATTCCTGACAGGTTCCCACAAGTCCATAAGAACCTATACTTATATACAATCCTTGCTCCACCCCCCCATTAGCAGCAGCCAATTATCTGCTTTTGGGGAAG